GCAGAATGAATCCATGTTTGCATATTTTGTGTCTGTTTTTTTGAGCTGTCTCTCAGTGTACAACTGTGATTGATTATCAGTAAATGTCTGTGTCATAGGTCATTGAAAAGAATTATGGGCATTCCCTGGGGGTGTGGTCAGAGAGATCGGCTGTCCTGTCAGAAAATGGCACTGAAGAAGAAGAGTTCTCAGAGGCAGGACAACACCCTGCTGTGGTCATGTATTGGTCATTGTCAGTGGCAATCTTCGCCATTGGCGGCATGTTATCCTCCTTCCTGGTGGGATTTGTGGGAGACCTAAGAGGAAGGTGAGAAAATAATGAAGATGCAATGGTGCAAGAATGAAAGTTTAGTGGAAACAGAAATACCTGAGGAAAATGATGGAAATTGGAGAATGATGACAATGAGAGGAGAGATGGAGGCAAATGTTAGTGGAAATGTTGAAATTAAATCAGGATCATTATAGAATAATACCATGATACACCTGGCTGTTCCTCCCTCTGCCCCCTTTGTATCCTATTCTCTCTTGCAGGGTCAAGGGTATGTTAATGGTCAATGTTCTGGCTATAGCTGCTGGACTGCTGATGGGTCTCTGCAGGTTGTGGAAACCTCACATCATGGTCATCTCAGGACGCGCTGTTATGGGCATTTACTGTGGTACAGTAAAGCACATTTAACCTTTGGCTAATACTCACACACATAATTTATTTCCAAATTCCAGTCCTTATGGATGATATAGTACTACAGAAGAGGCAAGATGCCGTAAATATGAATATTCCTGTTCATGATCATATTGAAAACAAATTATTTAACATTTCAGGAAAATGTAACATGGGCTCTTACTGTGAATTTCACTTGAAAAGAACAAATTAAATTAAAAACATTGCCTTCCAGTACGTCTACTGTGCCTGGCTTTATAATGTGTGTGTTTAAGGGTTGACGTCTGGGCTAGTGCCTATGTACATTGGAGAAATCGCACCCAAGGCTTACAGAGGGGCTTTGGGGACGTTACACCAGCTGGCTATTGTCAGTGGCATCCTAATCAGCCAGGTGTGGTGCGCTCATACACACATACATGTGCACAGCAGCATCTTTGCTTGCTGAAATTCTTAGCATATAACTAAAACTGTATGTGTTTGTGTGTGGATGTGGGTGCAGGTAATAGGCTTGGACTTTGTACTTGGTAATGATGATATGTGGCCTCTGCTGCTTGGTCTGTCTGGAGCTCCAGCAATATTGCAAACCTTTCTGTTGCCTCTATGCCCAGAGAGCCCGAGGTACCTTTACATTCTACTGGGCAAGGAAGAAGAGGCTCGAACAAGTAAGCAATACACAAGCAATTCTCTCTGTCATTCTTCTTCTTTCTCTAGTGGGTCCTGAACTTTTTCTGAAAGAGGCAACAGGTGTATTTCTCCTGACAATACTTCTGTACTTTTATTAAAGTAAAAGCTTTGAAAGCTATGCTTTTAACATGAAGCATCTTTATATTACAGTACAGCTACTCGAGAAAATGTTCTGAAAACCACTACAAATAAACCATCTAGGCCTATAAAGACTCTTGCTCTTATTTCCCACCATGCTCTGTTTTGTTGAAGGTCTATCTCGTCTAAATGGGCCATATGATGCAACTTCTGATCTGGAAGAGATGAAGAGAGAAAAAGAAGATAAGGAACCCAGGATGTCTATCCTTACTCTGGTACGTCTCTATAAGGAAGAGGGTTAGTTAAGATGTATTGTCACAACTACCTATCTCCTGTGATTTTAACTTTTCCAGGAACAATTCTGTAGAAAATTGTGGATTTTTTGAAGAAGTAAAATAGTTAAAAATATCATTAAAACTCCCTAAGTTACTAGAACACTACCATTACACTTTAATAGTTCAGAAAAGACAGTATGGGCAGAGTTACCTTCTGAAATGTCCAAATGAATCAGCAGCTAAAGTGCACTGACAAGTTAATGTTATGTCTTTAGTTAAACAAATTATGTAATAACATTTTTAGCTTTAAATGTTATTTAGCTATAACTGAACCCATCATAGTGTCCTACATACAACCAAAAGATTTCTGCAGTGAAAATTCTAGAGGTGTATGTGCTTTCGAGAACCACTGCAGTGACCATATTTTACGGCTCTGCATTCCTTCCCAGATCCTCTCCTCTAAGTACAGGAGGCAGCTGTTGGTTGCCCTCATGATGCACCTCTCCCAGCAGTTGTCTGGCATCAATGCAGTGAGTAGCACATCAATTTTAACTCTCCTTTTCTGTCTCTCATTCAGTTTACTTACATAAATTAAAATTGTCATGTCAAGGTGACAAGAAGATCATGGTTTCATTGTCTCAGCAGGTCAAATCCTGGCTGAATGGTGGACCTCTTCATTTAAAAAAGCTGAAGATTTTTTGTTTATCCGTGCTTTGTGTAAAATATTTACCACTCTCCCTGAGTTGAGCAAAGCCTCCATTATATGTGAGTTAATCATTTAGAAAATTCTGTACTTGTTTTGTCCTCAAGATCTTTTATTACTCCACGGATATCTTCACTCGAGCTGGTGTCAGTCAGCCAGCCTATGCCACTATAGGAGTTGGGGTCATTAACACAGTCTTCACTCTGGTGTCTGTGAGTAGCTACACAGGTGCAAAACACACTGACATGCACACGTATAGGCATGGAACTCTTAACACGGACCATCCTTAAAAACACACAAAACACACATAAACACAAAGATAAACAGTTTTCTGTATGTTCTAGGTTGCACTGGTGGACAAGACTGGTAGGCGTACTCTGATTCTGGCTGGGCTAGGTGGAATGTGCTGCTGTGCAATAGCCATGACAGTGGGCCTTAAATTGCAGGTTTGTTCGATCATGTGTCAGAGCTTCAGTCTGTCAGTGACTTGAACTGAACCTCTATTATGAAATTACTTGATTTTATTAGCATGGGAAGCAGGCAAAATTGTTCAGCATCGTTTACTGTAAAAGCAGAAACAGTTTCAACTTTGTTGCACTTAAAGGTAACAAAACACATTTCAGATTTGCAGGAAGTTAGTATATTTATTATAAAAGAAATAAACTGGACATAAGATACTGATTGGCATGCAACGTGTTTTTGAGCTTATTGCTCTTTCTCAGGCAATGTTTGATCATTTTAAGTAACCAGGAAACAACCCTGAGAGGAAACAGTTTCTCCTGACCAATGTACTGTACTCTTCACTCCAGAATGACTACTCATGGATGAGTTACGTGAGCATGTCAGCTATCTTCCTCTTTGTGAGTTTCTTTGAAATTGGCCCTGGTCCTATTCCATGGTTTATTGTGGCGGAGCTGTTTAGCCAGGGACCTCGGCCTGCTGCGATTGCTCTTGCTGGCTGCTGCAACTGGACTAGCAACTTCATCATAGGCATGACCTTTCAGTACATACAGGTAGGTATACACAAACACACAATATACTGTAAACCTGTGCAACATATGCACTTGCTTGTGGGTTGATCTGTCATTGCATCATTTACAAAATATTAGACACTGTCCCTCCTGATATGTCCTTTTATTTACTTATTTATAGAGTTGTTTATTAATTTATTTGTGTGTTTGTTTGTTTTTATATACAGGCTTTGCTAGATTGTTATGTGTTCATCCTGTTTGCTGCGCTGCTTTTCTGCTTCACCATGTTTACTTATTTTCTGGTCCCTGAGACCAAGGGAAAAACCTTTGATGAGATTGCTGCTCTCTTCCAAAAAGGACGGAAACAAAGACTCAAAGACAATACTGAACTGGAGCAGCTCAAAACATCCACAGATGCATGAAAAAACCGCCATGCATTTGTATAGTATTTGTATGCATGTGGAAGGTCCACCTGCCAGTATTTCAGAAGTGTTTATACACATTTATCCTTCTAGTATTATCATGATTACATTGTGAATAAAGGAGGGAATTTTTGCACAAGAAACATTTTTTTACATAAGAATTATACATTATATCAAGTTTCCATTATATGAAGTGTAATTTATATTTAATCAAAATAAAAAACATTTATTGTAGTTTTGTTACTATACAGAAAATTATGAGCAAACTCAACAGGACTCATCTATTTGATTGAGTTTTAGGGCATCTTTCATTGTTATGGTTTTCATGTTGCTTTTTTTCACTTCCATCAATTGTACACCATTGTTTTCAGCCACAGTAGGGCAGATGTTTTCAGCAAACAAGCCCTAAACCCAGTATATACAGTATATGCTACCTGCCGAGAGCCAAATGGTAGACAACCGGTAAACATAGTAAAGTATTTAGGAGCTGAAGGTCCTGATATTACCAGATCTCTTCATAAAATTCATCAGTGTGACCAAAAATATAACTGCAAATGAATGGTGCTCTGGGCCTGTCAGAATTATTGGAGGCAGTACAGTATTTACAGGTCACTTTTGTGTTCTCAGCTTGTTTCTACTGCCTCCAAGTGGGGAAAACATAAGTTACCTGGTTTATCACTTAAAGTACAGTATTATTCTCTAGTGATAATTGGTTACAACATCCTATGTATCCACTGAATCACTACTGTATTGTTTTGCCTTGAGCTAGAATTATGCATGCCTCCACTGAAAATAGTGTTTGCTTATTGTTTCTTCCATGAATGTTTGACATGGACTGTGCAGTGTGATGCATGTGTATGAACTGTGGTAGTGTAGCCCTAAAAGATGTGTGATGCATGTGTATGAACTGTGGTAGTGTTCACATTCATTTGCAGAACGTGGTACGTTTTCCTGTGCTCACATTAAAAAGGAGTTCAAGGCATGTATATTCTAGTATGACTTCATGACATCAAAAGTCGACTGAATGCATGGTCAACAATTAAACCTATAAACATTCAATATTTGCATGTATTTTTCAACGAGGGAAAATGTGTTGTCATTTTTAATGAAACAGACACAATCAAACAAATTATTATTCTAAGCAGAATATCTTATATAATTACATCTCTGGAGGCCATCTAAATAAAACTTCTATTTTTATCTATCCGAATAAGAGCACATGGTTCTAGGGCATCTATATTCCTTTCTAGCCAGCTGGTTTTAGGAGATCCACATCAATGTCAATCGGGGGAGCAGTGAGCAGATAGGTGGTCATAAAATTTACTCTACTTTCATATGGGTCTATTTAAAAGTATAGTGGAAGGAGTGAAAGAAGAAAAAGAGTGTTAATAATTTTTTTCAGGGTAACAGGACTTATAAATGTAGTCTAGAACAGTGATCCCCAACCCCCGGGCCGCGGACCGGTACCGGTCCGTGGATCAATTGGTACCGGGCCGCACAAGAAATGATTAATTATTACCGTTTTATTTATTATCTGAGTCTGAACGATCTTTTATTTTGAAAAATGACCGCATTCTCTCGGTTACATCTCGGTCACTTGAGCGCCAAAACTGGCTTACTTGTGGACATATTCAGCCTGCTCAATGAACTCAATCTGTCACTTCAGGGGAAAATGATAACTGCCTTCAAGTTGGCAAATAAAGTAGCTGCATTTAAAGCCAAACTGGATTTGTGGGGACGGCGCGTCAACAGAGGCATTTTGGACATGTTTAAAACATTAGCGGGGATTTTGGGTGAGACTGAGCCTGAGCCTTCATTCTCCCAGCTGGTGCACGATCACCTGTCTTTGCTTTTAAAAGAGTTCGAGCGCTACTTCCCAACCACAAAGGACCCACGAACTGCCAAGGAATGGATCCGCAACCCATTTGTCAACAAACCAGGTGAATCCAGCAGGTCTGTGCAAGAAGATCAACTGCTGGAGATCGCAAATGACGGCGGCCTTAAAAGTATGTTCGAGACAACAACTCTGTCGGTGTTCTGGATTAAAGTCATGGAATACCCTGAGATCGCCACCACAGCACTGAAAACTGTGTTACGAGGAAGCTGCTAATAAAGTTGCATACAAGTAAACAGTGAATTCACATTTATTATTATATTTACAATATAAGCAATCTACGTAGAGACTATGGACACAAGATGGCAGTAATGCTACACTATGATGCCAACTGCCGCACAACACCAGAGAAGAAGAAGAAGGACGCGAAGGAGAAAGAAAAAGAAGAAAACTTTTCATGTATATTGTAAATAAGCAGGAGACGAGGTAAGCTAAACGGTGGGAATTATAAATAACATTTTTGACAATGGAGCCTGTGTTAAGTAAGCAGTTGATTTGTGGTGCAGCAACTCCGTATCTGATGCCTATACTGGCAGGGACTTAATTTGTGCTTAGTGAGTTGGTGTTTGTTGTGTTAGGTATTTTTTACCTGTGTTCATGGAATAAATCAGCACTGTTTTGTAGTTACTTGGACTGCCTCGTCTCTCAGAGTCAGTATGGTAAAAAGTACCGGGCACAACAGTTGAAAGCTTAATGCTCACCTGGTCCGTTGTCCCCACCTGACAGTCATGTACACATTGCAGCAGCTGTGATGCCAACACCAAGTAATACAGAGACAGCTCTGTTCTCTGAATTAGTAGCAGGTTAGCACAATGCAATGGCCACTCTCCAACGTGTTCAGCAACAGTCTATATCTGACGGCTGCTGGTCTTGTTTAGAGTCGTAGTTCTATGTCATATATTCCCCAAAGCTAGCAAAACCGGTGTTTTGTAAAACTATTTGTCAGGGCCACATTAAACTGTCCTCTGGAGTGACGTAACTGATGATGGAAGAGAGGACTTGACCCTTGCCCACAAAGAAAAGTGATAGGTCCACCTAGTTCAAGGAGAGAGGAATCAGAATGTGTTTCTTTCTCTGTCCTAAAAATGATTTCCAGGATAATGGTTGTAATCTTTGGTAAAAGGGCACTTCTGTCACTATATGGGAGGCTCATAGAACTTTTGGGAGAAGTGGGATGTATTCTTTTACAATAATAAATAATAATACGCCTTACAAATATGTACTCTCCAGCAACCTCACAACACAAATCTTATATTTTTCTTTTATATGTGCCTTATAGTTTCTTATACCGCCCTCATCCTTATAAGTAACTCTGCTGTCACATTTTGTGTTCTTTGCTCACCCTGCTGACATAGAACAACACATTGCCCACTATGGTGGATGATGATTTTACCACTGCGAACTCCAGGGCATCCACAACATACCCCATGTGGTGCTCTGCATTGAGGAAGAATGGCAGTGTCATGCTGAGAGGACATGCCTGTAAGATTGTTGACATGACTACCTCTACAAATGGCAATCATGGGTATGTTAAGGTAAGACCACCTGCATTCCAAATAATACAACAATATGTTTCCTAATTTTACAAGTCACCCCCAATGCTTGCTTGACCTGGGGAAAGATCTAATCACTTTAGGTACTTTCCCAGGTTCACCTTACTGGACTTGACATCTTTACTAAGGAGAAGTTTGAGGACTTCTGCACATCTACTGCGTCCATAACATGGCTGTCCCTAATGTAACAAGAAAAGACTACCAGGTGAGATGTAACCTGGGGACTCCAAGTGGCATGCATGATTTACAATGAGTCCAGAATATTGTCAGTTGAAACAAGTTGCCCTATGAAATTGCAAAACAAATTGGTACTGGCAGCCAGTAATGTACTGGGTGTTCTGTCATTCGTTTAAACTGCCAGTTCATCAGTTTTCCATAATGTTTTGAATTTTTTATAATCCTGATAAAAAATGCGTGATGTGGTGAAAGTAAATGCTTTATCAGCTGCCAAGATGATGGTGTCGTGTGTCAAAGCTGAGCCGTCTCATCAGTAGTTGTGAAGGGAGGTGCAGGATTTCAGCTTGGTCTTGGCCAACAAGCACTTTGTTTCTCAATAGCGGTTTCTTTTGGTACAGAAATGTTCAAAATACAAGAAAACAGTGTTTGTGTACAAGTATACTGTCTGTACAGAATAGGTGTAGCTCAAAAATTGAAGCTTTTTTTTTTGTTTTTATGTTTTAGGTAGTGTTGATGCATGTGTGATGGAGCCTAAATCGAGCTCATCAGTAGCACTGACTGCAGCAGTTCCTGCTTTTTACACACAGTAAAGCCTTAGAGCTCTGTTACAGTTCTGTGTTGCTGCTGACTGCTGTGTTGCTGAACTGATTTTCATTATGCACACTGCATTGAAAGCCACTTTCAGTGTTTTATTTGGCCCCATGTTTAACTCTAAGAGTGATGGAGCTTTTGCTGTACTGCTCCTCTGCTTTGGAATGAATTGACTGGTGTGGGCTATATGCTGTTTGTCCGTCTGTTTTTTATGGCTGCAGTCCTAATGTTTTTAAGAGTAAACTGTTCAGTTTTTGCCTGATCATCATTTAGGTAATCATCATCTCAGATGACTTCTTGACTCTGATGGATGACAATGAAGAGACCAGGGACCTTAAAGTGCCAGAAGGTGACCTGGGCAAAATAAGAGCTTTGGTATTGAAGAAGAGTTTCTGGTGAGTTTCTTTGGTCTGAGGTGAGAAAAAAGGTCTTGTTACTAGTATTGATTAAACTGTAGCAACTAACAACTTAGGTTACATTGATCTCTTTTCATATGTTGCATTTCTGTGTAGTCATACATAGAAAATGAAATCTTTACTGATACATACTTGATCTTTGCCTGTGTCTCAGGGTTTCCCATGGCAGAGCATTAGTTTACTCATTCATGATTTTGTTCTTACTCTGAATTATGGTGGACTACTGTATGCATATACAAAGCACTATTATCAGATTTGATATACTTTTTATGCTATTCACAATTTTTTTAGGGCAGACTCAGCAGGGGTGCAAACTTGTCTCCTTTTGGTGAACCATAACTGTCTTTGTGTAGAAATGCCAAAAAAAAAAGATGGTGTTGGGGTAGTCTACTTCTTATCCAAACCAATTCTGAGTGTATTTACACTTTGTAAAGTGGTAATGAAAATCAACTTCAGTCTGTGTTTGGTCTTTGTTTAGTCATGAGTTAATGCATGAGCAAACATTACATCAGCCTTCTGATGGCTCTTGCCATTAACTCCACTGCTGCACAGATCATCTCTTTCAGTGTCCAGACATTCGGGTAGCAGCTTCCTGTTTGTAGCTGTTGCTGATTCGCACTGCTGCTGGTTAAAAGGTCAAAACAGCAGGTTATATCAGCTGTCACTAAAGGCCGACCCAGAGGAAACTTGCTGACTTGTTGCCAGGATTTTAAAGCTGGTGGGGAAACATAACACTGCTGTCTGTACTCAGCCAGAGACTGTTTATGAGCTGAAAGAAGCATCATTCTATAACACTGCTGAAATATCAGGGTGGTCAGGTGTTCTCCAGCAAAACCTTCAGCTGATCGTGCCACATTAAGAGTCAGAAGCTCATTTCAGACATGATAACCCTGAATCTGCAGGCTCCATGTAGCCATGTAGCAGTCGCTGTTTTGGCGTTGAGACATAGACCTGCTGTGCACAAAATTCCTGGCAAGACTTTGTTCCGTTTTGCAAGATGGACACAAAGGAACACCATTTACTCTTTGTCTTGTTGGTAAACTTTTCCTTTGTCCCTTTGTTGCAAACATGATTGTGCCTATGAAAACCCGTGTTTGTTTCTAGTATACTGCCTCCTTAAACACATCTAGATTTCCAGTATCCAAATTCTAGACTGGGATAGATTCCAGCACTCCCATCACCCTCTTCAGGAATAAGAGGTATAGATAATGGATGGATGGGTGGACTGGTTTTCAATGAGGAGTTTGAGTATATTGAAAAAGGGGTGTATTTAGCATGATTTGACAGCTTTGATTGACAGTCTGATGCCGTCACTCGATTTCTCGTCATTATTGCGCAGAATCTGGTTGCCAAGATGGCAGCTACCTTTATTCACAATATTTTGGCTTCACTTTTGCATAGTGGGGCAGGTGGTCCATTTGTATATAGAGTCTATGGGTCAGATGCAAGAACATCAACTCATCGAAATGAGTGTTTGGAGATGCTACTTACTGTTTTTGTGTTTGAAGAACGTTAAATTGCCATATTTTTTTATAATCTTCATTGGCATCTAATCATTGGTTCACTTTTTCTTTTATTTTTCAGTCAAGAAACTGGTTTGTCTGTCTATATCATAGGTACATTGTATTGAAACTAGGAGCAGGTGTTCAAGTATAGTACTCAGTCGTGTATGCCGCAGAAGAGGTGTAGGGATGTTTCCCTAGCTCGTCACAGGTTTCTTGCCCAATGTAAACACGGGGTTAAATTTGACCTTGAGCCTCTTTTAGAACATGAAGATACACACACTCCTGTTTTCTGTATTCACACTAATGTACAGAGTGGCTCCTGTCTTAAAAATCACAACTGTCTGTTTTGTTTTTGTTGTGCAAGCAAAATAAAGTTTGTTCAGATGTTACCGGCAAAGTGTGTCACCAGTTTTTTCCTTTTTTGTTCAAGATATTTCAGCATGATGTATTGTATTTAATTGTTTTGTTTTACTGTTTGTTTGCCATATGGGTAAAGTAACTAGACCACTGAGCTGTCAAGTAGCAGTTACAGTAACTTGTTCACCAAAAGATGAGCTTGTAAGCATGTTTGGGAAACAAGTCAGTGACTTTTTCTTGGTGTTTCCCTTTAACTTTACTACATGTTTGCATGATACTGGAACGATGTTGCTGACACGGATACAAAAGAATAGGCAGTGTAAAACAATAAGAGAAAGTGTCATCAGTACTGCTTGCTTAACAGATAACCTTTGTTACAGTGGAAAAACTAGGTGCCCCATGATCATTGTTGTTTACAGAAGCTAGTAAAATATTGTTTCACGAACTATAAAATGCTTTTATTTTATGGGGGGCTTTACCTCAGCTGCTCAGTAGGTGGCAGTGAAGCATCAATTTTGATAGTTGAGATTTGTCTTGAAGTCTGTCTGGCTTGTCCTTTTGGTTGAATGTCTAATTTTGCAGAGATCTTAAATAGTGACAGTGTTTGTGAGAGTAGTTTAGAAGGCTGTGCACATGATCTGGCATTAATGAACCTAATGCACATGGAAAGGTGTATGAACTATGAATGTAAATATGTTTTGATTATTTAACTTGGGCACCCAGAGAGCATTTGTGGCTTTTAGCAGAGATGAAGCACAACTTGTGATTTGCTAAAGGGATGTCTGCTTTGTCACAGGTGATTCATTTATCAGTGACTGTGTCAGTCCGTATGGCACAACCACCAGCTTCCAGTGCTGCCAACAAATTATGCAAGTAATTTGATATTGGAAAATGGCTTTTAGAGGAAACTCTATATCTCCCGCACACATATGGGATACCTTACATTTTCTGCAGACAACAAAATCCATTAAGGCCTCTCTATGGCCTTGGCCCTTACAGAGAACCCTCCAGTGCTTCTTTCCTCTGCTGGACTCTTAAGGTTTGGTGTACAGTACAGCTCAAACCAGCATTTGTGGAGGGGATTGACAGAGACTTTGCCATTCCACAGTGATTCACGCCTATTTATCCAGACTGTGAAACTGCTGGATTCCTCAGTGATCTTTGAAGCAGATGAACCAGTTAGAAGCGGTTAGAGATTTGATAGTTTGTCATGTTGAGGGGGCTTTTCTTGTGCGTGAAGGGGGAAAAAAAAAAGCACTACTCCAAACAGATTTACGTAAGATGCATACATCTCAACACTGGGTCTGGTCTGAGTGTAGAGGAGGGCTGTTATGTAAGGGCAGTACCGATGTGTCCAAACAACCTGATATAGAGAGTGCAGATCAAAGCAATAATGTGAACTGTGGATTTTTTTTTATTATTTTTTTTATTGTATGTATTTAACTGTGATGGAGTTTGTGAGCCACTTTCAATTTCTTCCAGCTGTTTTGGTCCAGTCTACAACTTTGTTATTACTGGCACTTCCTTGTATATGATCACTGGAAAGTCAGTATGGCAGTATTATACAGGACAGGTATGACACAAAATATACGTAGCATATATTTAGGATAACAAACCCATATATATAATTTATAAACACTCAGCTGTCAAAATCCCCGAGAACATTTACTGTGAATATCACACTCCACCATGCCTACATGTCCTAAAGTGACAGGAAAAACAAACATGACTCCTATCAGTATCACACTGAAATATAAGTTCTTTAAATAACTTAGAGCCTAGAGTTGCCAATTTGAAAAGTCTCTAATCAATTCAAGATGAAATGAAGTAACCTACCACTTTAACATGCTTCAAATTCAGGTCTGTTGCTTGTTAACGTTTTAGTGCCTGTATGTACAGCATGTAATGTCTGCATGAGTCCATATGACCGATGATTGGGTCTGTAGTGGCCGTTATTTAGGATGTGTATCTGAAAATCTAAGCAAGAAGCCTACTTGTGAGTTTTTGTGCAGGGGGTTCTCGGAGTGTTTTAAAAGATCACTGGAGTTATTGAATCCAGATTTTGAGAGAAAAGAGCACTTCATCCTCAGACTGTGACAGGATTTTCAGGACAGGAGGAGGCGTTTTGTTCTCCTTTCATGTGCTCGGTCCCACTGAGCAGTACGGAAGGTTTCTCTGTGTGGTGAGGTTCAAGGATGAATATTGAAAACAAATCCAGCAACCGTTTGATGCATTGTGATGTATAGAGGTGTTCATGTCTCTCTCAGTTAAAATATTTATTTTCAAGCTGCACCAGAGCTGCAGCTCTTGACCCAGCCAACATCTGTCAGTGGGTTGGTCCACATCTTTGGTGCAGCTTGAAATAACTCAACTAATGAATGGATTGCCACAGAAATATCTGGCTTTTCCTCTGGTGCCACCATCAGGTTGACATTTTGAGCGTACTGCCTCCACAGCTACTGGATGGATTTTCATATTATTCAGCACAGGATGCATTGTTATGCTTTGTTAGTGCCATTGTCAGGTCGTCCAGCACTTTAGTTTATTCTAATGTATTGAGCCACTTTTGCAAGCTGTCTTGAAGCTTTTCCAAAACTTATTGAAACCAGAAAATGATGCCAGTAGCAACTATGGGCAATTAGTCATCATCTCATCTTTTGTTTTGAGACTTCTGGTTTTATTCATAATTACAGGCTGTGGTCAAGATCTAATCAGTTTCAAATGTTGGCTGGGAAAAGCAGGTATGTTGGGCACATCTGTCTCTGTGTGCACATTTGTAAGGGATCATGATTAAGACCAGCAGGACAGAGGAGTGTTCTGTCTTCAGAAAAGGTTATGCTAACAGATGTGTTCACTTGAGACCTGGGCTCACAGCGTGAACTTTCTATTTTAACTGACAACCTTCTGTACAGTCATACTACTGGGAAGACACATGTCTTTGAAACAGACCTTTCTTGAAACAATTACTGAATGAGTTCACAGGCGGGCAATCTAGACTGGATTTTACAGGGAGCCAGTGGACAGAAGCTAATATGGGAGAGATATGATCTCTCTTGCTAGTTCCTGTCAGTACTCTGGCTGCAGCATTTTGGATTAACTGGAGGCTTTTAATGGAATTATTGGGTTATACTGATAATAAAGAGTTACAGTAGTCCAGCCTGGAAGTAACAAATCAGTGGACCAGTTTTTCAGCATCACTTTGAGACAGGATGCTCCTGATTTTGGTGATATTGTGCAGATGAAAGAAGGCAGTTCCAGAGACTTGGTTTATGTGTGATTTAAAGGACATATCCTGGTCAAAAATTAATCCAAAGTTCCTCACAGCAGTACTGGAGGCCAGGGTTATGTCATCTAGAGAATTTTTACATGAACTTTCCTCACAAACTGACAAAAGAAATAAGTGTTTTATAAGTCACTTGGCACCATACAACCTTTAGCAGTAAAGGTACCTAATAAAGATCTATGATAATAGTATTACAGCACAGAGAAATGGGACATTAACTGATGAGTGATGGTTATAAAAACCACTTGCTTACATTAAGAACTGCTTAATTAAATGTGGTTTAACAAGAACCGGAAACAGACTTCTGGTCAGCATAACATATAAACACCAGAAATATGTAAACACATCACTATAGCCATCTATGGACTTATGGGTCCACTTGCAACAATTTTGAATGAGTGAGCATTTAAAGCAATACATAAGAAGTGTGCATGTGCTGCCATACATTGGCATAGAATAGCTATGGAGCTTCTGTTTTCCTGTCAATCTGGATGAATGGAGTTTGAGCACTTCAGGCTGTAACCTCTGATAAACCTCTGGTCAAATGCAATGTGTTGTTTCTGGCCACCTGCTCCCCTCTGGCACAGCTTTGAACTTCTGTGTGGTGTGTGTGTGTGTTAGTAAGGGCAGTTAGTAGACTAATAGTTGGAATGCTGAAAGGTTGTGTCCAACATCTGGTGGTTGACTTCAGC